TTTCTTGTCTTGTTCTTTTTCTTTTTCTTTCTTTTATGTTATTACTTTGGCTTAATTTGCAATGATGAGGACTTGTTATAAGAAGTTCGGATTTTGAAAGTGTTGGTGTTATATTAAAATTTTAATTTTAAAATAATATTTTCAATTTCAAGGTTAAATTTCGAGTTATTACAAGTATTCATCTGCCTAAGTGATATGTTACAGATTTAAATTTGTGAATCTATATCGCTAAAATAAGAGTAAACTTACATATTACCTATCTTTCGTAGACCATGTTATTAGATAAGAGCCTTGTATTGTGGCGACGTTCTCTCTCTCGATCTCGACAAGGTTATTGCTTAGTACTCCTTTAGGTCATAGACAAATGTATTACTATTGTGATCAGTGTTAAAAGGGGTTCATGTTTTATTAAGACATTAGCCAGAGTCATTTTAAATAGAATGCCATTACACTTTCATTCCCCACCCCGCCCCAACAAAAAGAACAGAAAAAGAAAAAGAAAAACACGCCACCCCTCCCCTGCCCTCCTCCGCCTCCTCTTCCCCCTTGAATCATCAAGCTTCAATCTCAATTGCATAGATATCTGATAAAAATCCATATCTGATTCAGTATTAATCGACCATTAACACTTACGGGAAAAAAATCTAACAATAACAATAAATTAGATCAGCACATTATATAAAGAAGTTGAATCGAAATAACAATATTGAGTGTCTAATGTTTTGGCTCTCGAATTCAGCTAAGCTCCTATGTGGCCAAGTGGTCAGTCGAGTAACAGAAGCTAACTAATTGGTATTAACCATAAATTTTCCCTCATTTATTAGAGTGCAAATCCACTGCTAAAAGCATGAACGAATACAACCACCACCTCTTCATCAAGATGAACACTTGCGTTTGATGGCGATAGCGTCAGAAGATGAGATACCTGGTAAAAAAACCATAAATGGTATCTTTGTCTCTCTCTCTGTGGAAGAAAAAAACCATGAAAGTATATAATTATCTTTATCACGGCCCTTGTTCACCATTACACTCCAACTTGTTATGATCCAAACATGGTAATTCGCATCTTACAGTGACGTGAGGCTTTCGGGTGGAAACTGAATTATCTGGCCAACGAGTAACAACAGTTTTCCCTTCAAACTTTCTATGCCTACATTGTTGTTTCATGATGAATCAGATAATGTCCCCTATCAATAGAGGGCATATCAAGCAGAATATAAGGTCCCATCTGACCGTGGATTGTGTTTGATGCAATGCTGGTGACATACACTATGAAAAGCATATGAGTAGTATCGGAAGTTTCGAACATCATATACAATCTTTCTTTTTTGGCAAGTAAACATCATATACAACCTAAAGAAGGAAAGAACAGACAAAAACGACACTGGATCCAAAAATCTTTACTTTACTTAACCAAAAGATTAATTAAAATGTTACAAGGAGGAGAGAGAGAAGATTAGCATCTGAACACTACAAAAAGCAACTCTATTGATGCATTGAAAAAAAATACAACGATGTTCAAGCAGCCTTTTGACTGCTGGAAAGTGATGAAACTCTTAATAGTTCAACGAAACCCAAAAAAAAAAAAAAATGCCTTCTATGTGTTAGCATTTGAAAGAAACCCCTACCAAGAGGGGGGAAAATGAAGCAAGTATCCTAAGCCACATAACAGAGAAACAAGGAATACATTTTGGAAATACAGTGAGGAAACAGAAAAAAAAAAAAAGACAACCTATGTAATGATACTCCAGGATCAAGCAAGTACGAACCGGTTAGGATCCAAAGCTGTGGAAGATAAAGAGAACCAGTGGCAACCTGACCCTTCTTGATTTTCTGGTGCAAAAGATACAGAAAGAACAAAGTCTAAACGGCACAACATGAGACGGGAAAAAAAACATCCCCTCCCTAGCATGGTGTGTTATTACTCATGTCACTATATGAACCTGTCTGCCTTTCTGATACAGAACTTATTTGATGTTCGGGGTTTTTCAAAAGGTTGGCCCTTACATCAATGGTGCCCATGAACGTGCATTTCATGTCCCAACAAGATTCTGTGCGCCTCAAGGAGTCCTGAGTGAAGGATGCTTCTGCCACAGAAATTTCCACCTCCGATTTTTGTCATTGTTTATGGGGTTTAACATTCGCTCTACTTCAATTTCAGATTAGATCAAAGATTGCAGGCGCTTTAAACGTCCACTGCACTGCTTATGCTCAGGACTCGTGCTGTTAACATCCTGTTCATCAGGCTTAAACTTTCTGTTGTAGGGTGCCTGCCACTTAGCTTGCAAATAAGCGAGAGATCTCCATGGAGGAAGGGGCATTGAGTTCTGCTTGAGAGAAGATCTGGCAGCTTCAACCATGACTTGAAGGAACTGGTTCAGCTTCGTCAAGGATCCTACGTAAACAACTGGAAGGGAATTCAATATATAATCATACGTATGAACAGCTCTGGCTATTTCAAAGTGGCTCCGAAAGTCGATATCAATGATGAAACGCTCAGAGCTCCCAGTATCATTGTAATTCACCACATCTATGTACTCGTGATCCCCTGCATGATAGCACTAGTTATCAGATCAAAAAAGCACAAGCTAATTTTCTCCTCAAGACAGTGTGAGAGGGAGAGAGTTCCCTGGACAGGGCCCGCAAGCCAGTCCAAACGTCAGATCTATAAATGCAAGATAAGATGAGGAAATCTGCTACAACTACTCTGCTTTTGCATATGCCCCCAATAGTTTGAGCCTACCACAACACTATTAGTCTGCTAAGATATGCCACCCTTCCAGAACAAATTTGATGTAATAAATTTTTATTGTCCAATAATTGCTTATAAACTTGTGACGATCATCAGATGAAAACACTAGTTATTGCATTCTATCAACGATATGTAAGAGTATGTGACAGATGAAGAGCGGTGCAGCCATGGCTCTAAAGCTTTCAACAACTTATTGAAGTTTTTCTTTTCCCCATCTTGGTGAGAAGTTACATATTTTTGCACTCTTATTATCTATAAACCTAACACAGAACATGCAATTGAAGCTCAAGGAAGCTGATGGCATACCTCCAGGAACCTTACCACTACCCTGCCACTTGGATGCGCATACAGCAGCATCAAAACCAGAAAACCTCAGAAGCTTTACCAGAGAAAACCTGATGCAACTAGCATTGCACGGTCCTGACTTGACAGTGTGAAGATCAATGCCTTTAATAGATAGCATAAGAGAATTAACAACTGATAGCAAATCGCTCACATACTGATCCACTGACTTCTTGTAATACTGCACAATGACAGATAAAAAGCTTATGTGAAGACTTGTAAACAAATCAATAGTCATATTGTTTTTGATAAAAGATATAGAACTGTGCAACATTTATCTAATCCACTGGCACAGCACGACGGAAATACAATAACATGCAGACTTCATCAATTCAAACAAACTGACACACTAGAGTCCATCTAAAGCAAGGTTTTTTAAACATACAGGCTCTGTTTGATTTTAATTCCCAAACCTAATGTCGTCTCAATCCTTGTTTTCAAAGTTTGAAAAATGAAAATCGATTGCTGCACTCAAGTCATCAAATCAAATCCCAAAACATCACAACTCATAAACAACACGAATTGCCAAAAAATTCAGATTTTTTTTAATAAGGACAACAAACAGAATAGCATGAAAATATTTGCATTTCCATCAAATGTGAAATATAAAAAATTGTAGAGAGAGCAAAACTAACAGATATCTTGTCAGCAAGGTGAGCAAGATCGCAGAACCCAGAATCGCTGTCGCTACTCCACCTTGACTCTGTCCCACCACTACTTCCATTTTCCAAGAAATCACTAACCATAACCGCCAAGTCATGCTCACTCTCGTGGCTAAACCCACCTCCAATGTCACCCACCCCACCACCAACGCCGCCCAGTCTCATCCACAAGTCCCCCGTGGCCATACAGATTCTACAATCCATCCGCACCCACCACTCTTCGCCGATCAAATTACCTCCAAAACCATCAAATTTTCAAAAATCAACATTTTTCCCCTTATAAGACAATCACCACAACCTAACTTCGCGAAATTGGGTAATTCGACAGCAACAACTGCACTAAATCATACAAATTGACCTCAAACTTTGTAACCTTACTAACGAACTCAATATTTTTCAACAGAACATATCCAAATTCCACAAATTCGGGAAATTTGGAAGCCCTAACGTCGCATAAATTAGAACAATCCTTCCTATTTGTATTTACTTATCGATAAGAACATAGAAAATAATTCTTGCAGACTTGAATGACTCGATTCCAGTTTCTGGGGACGAAGAAATGGGAATTTGACGATTCAGAGGGACGAGAGAAGAAGGAAAGAGAATTTGACCAGTTCTGCAACCCAGAGGATGAAGAAGAAAGCAATGAAGAGGAAGATGGAAGAATACATATAAAAGTGGAGATAGTTGTGAAATGACGATAATGGGCTTGGATGATTTCGTAACGACCAAGTTAAGATGGATGTTGTATTTAACGAAAGTCTCGGGGGAGAAAAGGATAAGGTGATAGGGAAATTGTACCTAGACGGATAATGATAAAACATTCAATTTCTATGAATTTAAGAATAATATTATTTTATATTCTATTTTTAAGATTTTTCTTCAGCCAAAAATTTTCCTGTTAACATATAGTTACAGATGTTTTTGGCTGTTCTGATTGGTCCTTTAATAAACACCTTTCGTTTTGTGGTAAATATCTTAGGTAATATTATCAGGTGGACAAATTTCATTTTGCACCTTAAAAGAATGTTAGATTCTATTTGGTTATCATCTGCAAAATAGTTTTTTGTTTTCAAAATTTTAAAAACACTTAAAACTTGTTTATTTAACATTTTTTTCTCAAAATTTTTGAAAAAAATAAGATATACAACACAAAAACAGAAAATAAGTCAAACTTATTTTCTAGGTTTTATTGTGAAAATTATGAAAACACGAAAAATATCCTATTTACTATACACTTATTGTACCAATATAAAAACTTTTTTCCCTCACCTCTCTCTCTCTCTTTGACCTCTCTTTTTCTTGTGCCGACACCATGGATGTGTTTTCAACCTATAGATCTGGTGACTGAAAGCACAGATCCGACAATTAGAAGCACAGATCCTTTAGTGGTGGTGGTGGTTGTGGGTGTTGGGTGATTCTCGATTTCCGTGGTGATGGTGGTTGTGGGTATTGGGTGGTTCTCGGTGTGGGTTGGTGGTGATTGTTGGGTGATTCTTGATTTGGGTGGTGGTCTTGGTGGTTCTCGGTTTGAGTTAATGGTGGTTGTTGGGTTGGTGGTGGTTGTTAGTGTTGGGTTGATGGTGGTTCTCGGTTATGATACACAGTGAAAGAGAGAGAGACAAAGAGTTGAAGAGATGTAGGAATTGTGATTATTGTCCAAACAAATTTTATAATTTTTATTTTTTAAAACAATTTTCAAAAATATATAACCAAACAGATTTTGTAATTTAAAAATTTTTAAAAATAGTCTTTGGATACTATTTTTTGAGATGCAAATCAAACATACCCTTAAATTCTTATTTTTGTACCCTAAAAAATAAAATTTGTTATATTGCATTCTGAAAGGAAAAAAATGGTTGCAATTAGGTGCAACACCTAACTGCTGTTGAGTTTACCATCTACGTCTGTATTTTGTTCCGTTTAGTGCGTTCTGTGTGGTGTAAGTTTTGAATTTCAATTTCACTCTTTCATCTATATTTCAAAATTTCGGTTCTCTGGTTGCTCAAGTGTCCCTTTCATTAGTGAAAGACATCATTGGTTGTTTCTTTCTTTCTTTATTTATCGGTGTCTTTGTCGCAATATGGTACAAATTTTAAGATTTATTTAATTTTTTTTTATTTTGATTTCATGACATAAAATTTATATCATTTTTTTTTGGTTCAAATCATTATATTCTATGCATGATTCTTAATGTCAACACAACCCCGCTAATTTACCCATACTTCTATTTTATTTTCTTTTTTTTTTCATTTTTGATGGCGTAAATCAACGTGGATGAGTAAAAAGTGCACGTAACGTGAGATGTGCGTGGATCAGAGTTACAAGGCTCATGTATGATGCTGCAATAAAATATTGACGGAATTAAAGGGGTGTACACAGTGAAAATATAGTGGTTCACCGGTTCAAAAGCTCGACTAATCCACTCTTCAATGGAGGTTCTTGCTCCTTTCTCTTCTCTATTTATTAGTTGAATGTAATATAAGATCGTACTAAACTGATTAGGGTTTTTCTCTTTTTTTTTCTCTTTGTGTGCCTCACGATGAGGCGTTGCATAATATTTATAAGACTGCCACCTATTCCGTGGGATTTCGATCAAGATCTTTGTCCATTATTCATGGGATCCTCCTTGATTTTAAGAGAGAATCTTGGTTGGTTGAGAGTTTCATGCATGAAACTTAATTTTCGCAGTCACCCGACTGTTTCCTGGTCGGTTCAGCTACAATCTCTCCCCAAGGGGAACTTCACTACTGGTTCTCTGAGTTCCTCGTGTCTTTTTCGACCTCCTGATCTGACTTCACAATTAGGGCTTGTTTGAGGTATCATCAACTTTAATTTTAAATTACATAATTAAAAAAAATTACTATATAAAATAATGTATGCCTTTGTCTATAGCTATTAGATTATAAATGGATCTTAATATTGGGCAGTGACACTGTCACAAAAGCCTTGCAGATACTCAATATATTTTTGGGTGGGGCCAGATTGTGGACAGTACCAACTACCACATGCTAACTTTAAGGAATCAAACTATTTTTCAAAAAGGAAGACCTTAAAAGCGGAATCTTAAATAATTCCAAAATAACATTGTAGTTAAAAATTGATCCCTTGACATTGCAAAAATGATGCCAAATATAGTGCTGCCAGGGTCGTTTGGAGGGTTATTCCGTATATTCGAATAAACCTGCACCAACTCTAAGTAACATGATCTATAATAATTTACCAAAAAAAAAACATGTTGAATAATATATTCATTTATCATTGGAGTTGTCTACGATACCGGGAAAAAAAAATTGTTACTGCACCGACATTTATCACATTTACAGGTATTTTTATTACGAGTAATTTTACATTGATCAAATTTTGGGATCAAATTTAGAGCTCAAATGACATGACAGTTGATTATTTGAAATTTTTATTGGGGCCCAAATGACATGACACTAATCAAAGAAATTCAAGTCAACTGTCACGTCTTTTGAGTTCTAAATTTAGTTCAAAATTTGGTCAATATAACATTAGTATTTTACTACTATTGTGGTAACAAATAAAAGTGATAAAAATAATTATCACAAACGTGATAAATCACCTACTAAAATGGCAATTTTTTTTTGTACCAAAAAAAAGTAATAAAAATAATTATAACAGTAAAACCTTGTAGTAGGGGTGAAAACGCCCACAAAATAGTAAATCATCCATAAACGTAATAAATTTTTTTATTATAAATAACCCACCAGAATTATAAAAAGACTAATTAAAATAGTAAATTTTTGAAGTACATAACCAAAAAAAAAAAAAAAAAATTTGGGTACCGTAATCATGTTCTTTATTATTTTATTCGAAATAATTTTTTACAAAGATTCTTGTGGATTTTGTATTGTACATCTAAATTTTGCTGAAAGAGATAGAATAGAATTTTTTTTCAAAAATATTGACTCATTTTTCACGGAGAAACTCAAATATTTAGCATTTTTTTTCATTAAACAAAAGACAAATTGTCTTGGAATCTTATAATAAAAAAAATGTTATTTAAACCTAATTTAAAATTTTAATTTAATATAACTATTAGATTAAAAATGTGCTCCATCTGATAATCACATGTCATAACTAATCCAATGACTATATTGAATTAGGTTCTTAATTAGTTTCTTATAGTAACTCCTTATAATAAACAAGATAAGATACTTATTGAATGTAATCTTTGGTAGGTTGCTTCATGCTCGACTCTTAAAACGAATATTGACAACTCCCTATTTTCCTCTCATAAAACAAAAAGGATATCATACCTTCATCGCATTCAATCCCCATTTTTATTTTTATTTTTATTTTGGATGTCGTATGAGAATTTTGATTTTCCCGGATCGGAGGCGGGCTTCTATTTTGCATTTTGTCTGGAGAATAGAAGATTTTGAGAACATCGCTGCGACACCATTTTTGTTTAATTTTCGAATCTATCTGTCCCTGCGAAGCTGGACTAAGAATTGGGGTTTATGTAAAGCATTGGGCCACCTGAAGCTTTGAATTTAGGCCAATCAACTAAGATTGAGGCCCTCTCTCTCCCCCGCTTCGGGGTCTAGATAAAGGTAAATTAACCTTTGCCAAGTATACTTACCTTGTGCTCATTAGTCTAAAGGGCAGTATTGTATTGGCTTACCCTTATTCATACAAGAGTAATCATTGTGATCCGTAAGGGTGTGTTTGGATAATAGGTTAAGTCTCGTAAGAATAACTTAATAATGAAGTGGGTTCCATATATTTGGTGTTTGACAACTGAAAAATGCGAGAGGATATAAATCTTAAGTCAAATCTTGACTCGGTTGTTACAGTATTTTTTATTCAAATTAAGTGGGTTATGTTAAATGTAACCCACTCCTTTCATGGGTTATAATTTTACCCACCAGGTTAATCAGGTAGGAAGACGGGGTTACCCCTCCTTCTTAGATATTTTCTGTCACCTTACAGAAAAGACCATTCGTTGTTGTCCAAGTAGCTCAGCTCCAAGCACTGGTTGGTGATGACGTTCATCACAGGCGATCGTCAACTCGTTCGAGGTAAGCTTCATCTTCTCTGTCTCTCTCTCTCTCTCTCTCTGTCCCCCCAAACTTTTCTCTCTCTCTCTACCCCCCTAAACTTCTCTCTCTCCGTAGCGAACATGAACCGATCTAGTTCGCTGAGGTACACCCAGATCTGGCTTCGTTCGTCTTTGGCCGAAGCTATAAAAATGGACGAAGCTTCCCTCTCTCTCTCTCTCTCTCTCTCTCCGTAAACCAATCGAGGAATTTTGAAGATGCAGCAAAGCGACATGAGCTCTTCATATTACCAAACCTACCAATCCCATTTCCCTAACCCTAACCCTTACCAAACCAGATGTGTGGAATAAGCTGCTCATCCGTCGGGTTTTCCCAGTTGTCTTAACTTCAATTGTCTTTGTTTTATTCTTAAGTTTAAATTATACTGAACACTCAAATGGGCGTATTGATCAAAATGATTCCACTTCTCTATTATCTCTGTATAATTTGTTGTTTATGCTATTTGTGCATCTGCAACTAGCCACTAGTATCTAGACTTTGATTGCTTTAGGGGGTAGAAAATTTTAGAAAATTTCAATTTAGTGTGGCAATGTGATGTAGATTATACATGTTTTTGGTTGTGGTAAATTCAGTATTTAAGCATCTACATCAAAAATTAAATTCAATATTGCTCATTTTTCTTGCAATCATT